TTCTGTTAGCTAATGATTTCACAAATACATACATCCCCTAAAACCACACCCAGTAAACTTACAATGAGTATAAAATATGATACATTTTTGTCTCTCAGTACTATTTGATCCTTTGCGTATACAAACTACGTGAGAATTCTACAAGACTCCAAATATCTGTTTTGAAAACGTCTTATTTTGTGATCATGGCAGAGAAATTTCTGGACATTTTGTAAGTACTTGCTTTGTTTTGTTTTTTATGACCAGATAGAAGATTTGATTGTGAAAATACTACCTCATTTTTTTGTGTTTGTGTATTTTTAGTTTGTTACTTATTACTTGAAAGTAGAGAAGTTTATTTATAATAAATTCACGCAAGTAGCTATTCCCTTTGCGACAAATCTTTAGAGATTTACAATAAAATTGGTTGACAAAAGAATTTGTTTATTTTCTTAAAAAAAATTTCTTCACCGTTAAAAGCGAACAAGCAACTTCGTAATTGTTGTGTTTTTTTCTCGGATATTATTTAAATTTATTTATTTCATTTAATATTTTTTCAGTTTATTATACTTTCCTACAATATTTTTTTTTTCAAAAATTAGAGCAGATATTTTGAAGTGTGCATCTTTCTTTTATTATCTAGGGATGAGAAGCACACATCTAGCCCATCAAGGTCATTTGATGACTTTGAAAAAGAATGGCTCGACTTAGGAACAGATTGGGCACTTCCCATTCTGGAACCGGAGTATTCTCGAATTGATCCCTACTTTGCTCTAACCGGGGATGACGGGACTACCGTGCAGATTAAACAGGAAAATATTATCCCAAGTCAGACCACCACATGTACACCTGTTCAGATCCAAACCATGGCATCCTCCTCTGCCCCTACTACACAGACCACAATTTCAACTCAGATCGACAAAGGCTTAAAAACCCCTAAGACGCAAGTCCAGTCTGAAGGCAGAACCAAAAAAAGAAGACTGAGCGAAACTGAAGACTCGATCTTGTTAACTCTGCTCAGGTAAATTATATAGAAATTCTCATCTTTGCTATTTATGCTTAGTTCTATTCAAATAACTCGTCCGAGATATTTTTTAATTTTGTTATATAATGTTATCGCTAAACTTTAATTCATTGTTATCAAAAAATTAAAAGTTCCACATATTTCCCAATGTCAGTAACTTAATTCTTCTAAAACAGCAAAAATATTGAATCACATTTTTTTTATTCAGAAAAAACAAGGACGAAACTTCTGTGCCAGTTCAAACCTCGCCGCGGCGTTCTGTGCCAGTTCAACAAAAGACGAGAGATCCACGCCAAAAGACAAGACACCCGCGCCAAAAGAAAAAGGAAAACCAGCATGCCATGGAACAATCCATTTTGAAGGCATTTAGGTAAACACACTTTTTTTTAAACCGATATTGTAAATTAAAAAAAAACCTTCATAACTTAATTCAAGAGCGTAGATAGGTCTTTAATGAAGTAAAGGCTCATTGTACGATGAGAAGGCAAGGTCCTGGTAGGAGAATTTTCATATATTTTGGCGAAATTTAATATTAGAACACGAAGAAAGTAATGTAAAAAGTATTCAAAAAATAGCCAGAGAGACAAAATAAAATCAATATTAAATGAACAAGTTTAAGTTTGTTCAGAAATAGTTACCTCATCCACAAAGATGAGGTAAATTCGGATGTGCAGCCATAAAAAGTTAATTGCAAGTTAATTAATTATTGATTAAGTAAACATTCCAAAGACTGAATATTAGAATTCTTGCAAAGAAACTGCCGATTATAATTTATACACAGGTAATCTATATATGAGACTATATCAATGGTAAAAAATATATGAAGTCATATTTATTTTCTACAGTTTTGGTTTTACTTTTCTTTCGGAAAATTTTAAGTGTAGGCACGTGCCTTAAGTGTCTAATGGCAGCTACGCCACTGTTATAAAAATCTATAAAGATTAGAGACTATTATGATTAAACAAATCTTTCTTTATGATTTATTGTAATGTAAAAAACAGCTAAATTTGATTTTAATAATTGATTTTTTATACAGAAAAATTTATGAAAAAAACATATAAAAAGTGTATAATTCTACATCGAGCTTTATTTTTTTATTGTAGAAGAAATAACGCCACAAAATATGCAGCACTTAATAGACGCTGCGCGACACCAGAGGAGCCATCATCCCAACCACTTCATGAGGAATTAGAGGCGGTTGACGAGCTCATTAGTTGCATACAGGCAGATTTGGCACAGACGACTTTTCTCATAACATATGTTAAAGATTACGTGAGAAAAAACTGTAAACGGAGAATACCGCTCCAAACTCTATCATGAGAGATAACTGTTCATTATCTCCATATTTCAGACAAGAAAAACTACATTGTATTTAGTTTTGTTAGTAAAATTCGTTGATAATAATAAGCATTTGAAAATCAATAAATGTACATGTGTATAGTGCAATTACTTTTAATGATCGAGTATAATGATTAACGATTTATATGAATTGTGTTTCCGATTATAATATCTTTGTAATTGTCATAATTAAAAAATAATGAGAAAAAAATAAATTCTCATACATTTGTCCGATTTTCTTATCATGTACGATTTGCAAGGTTGTCACTAAGAATTAAAATAGCAGGGTTCATCAAAGAACTGGGATTCCTCTACTAACAGGGAGTATAGAGGGGTTATCAAAATAATCGAGGGATACTGTCATTATAAGGAAATTTCTCGGCTCCATATTCTTAGAGACAGATGAATTCAATTTTATATTAAAAATTGCCCTGTATATGATAATCTTAGAATACAATAAATCAAATACTATTATATTTAAAAAAAAATCTTGTGTCTTTAAACTAATAAAATTATTAAGGGTTCATATTATCAAAGATATGTTTAAATTGGGAAGATTATTGTTCAGCGCTGAACACAACGAAGATTAGAACAACTAAATTGTTTGTAGCATATAAAAATTGAATTGACGACCTTGGAGTTGAGTTGTATAATTTACCATGTACATTATAATATTTTAGAAAGTATGTTTGAAAAATTGATTTGTCAAATAACCGATGATATTTACAAGTTTAATAAAACTGACCACCTCCATGGGAAAAATGTAAAATACAGAAAATGATGTATAAGATTATACTTACTAAAGCTTTGCTGGTGAATGGAAACATGTCAGTCTAAAACGTTAAAAAGCTGGATTCCAATTTATAGCAAGGCTTAAAATTATCTTAACTGTTATGACCTTGCTGTTGACCTTTTATTTCGGGTTGATGACCTTGAGGTTGAAATCGAAGTCTCAAGGTTAGAAGCTATTGAATGGTATGACCTTGACCTAATATGTATGAAGCGCTTTGAATATTAAATGTTTTGACTTTGACCTATTTTGTTATGAACTTGAATTTGACCTAATATGTTATGACATTGACCTAATATACAAGTTTATGAACCAAGATTTTAATTGATGTATCAAGGTCAGTGACTGTTGAAGGTTATGACCTTGACCAAATATGTCTCAAGGTTTGTGACTGATAAATGGTATGACCTTGACTTTGACCTAAAATGTTATGACCTTGGGCTTTGACCTCCTTGACCTACATAAAGTTATGACCTTGACCTAATTTAAAAAAAAAATGTTGACTGTATAATGTACCCTTTACTACTTAGAAGGCAAGGTAGACTTTGAGCTACCAACCCTGATTGAGTGCGACCATATACCAAACAATCCAGATGAAATACCAACACCTGAAGTCACACTTCATCATGAACATCTCATAGAAATTGCTGGAAACCTTCAACCACTTGATGAAGAATGTCACATTCTTTTGCTGATAGGACGCGATTTGATAGAGGCCCATCATGTTCTACATCAGATCTTTGGTCCACCGAAAGCTCCTTATGCACAACTCAAACTTGGCTGGGTTGTCATCGGAGAAACTTGTCTCAACATGCAACATGCCTCACGTGATCTAAGTGTTAAGAAAACTTACCTTCTACCAACTGGTCAGCCTTCAACTATGAAGCCATACAGCAACAAGTTTGAGGTACTTGTAGGTCAGTCTTTGTCTGATGAGTCGCAGCTATTTATCAGGAGGAAGGACGACAATGAACAAGGCATGTCAATAGAGGATAAAATGTTCTTGCAACAGATGGATAGTGAATTTATCAGAGGCCCTTCAGGAAGTTGGGTGGCCCCACTGCCCTTTCGAGAGAATCGACAACGGTTACCGAACAACAAGGAGCAAGCCATTCAGCGAGCTAAACTTCTTGATGTTAGCCTTAAGAAGAACCCTGTGAAAAAAGGACATTTTCTTACATTCATGGCTAGGATTCTGGACAATCATCATGCAGAAGTTGCCCCAAAGTTGTCTGATGGAGATGAATGTTGGTTTCTGCCCCTATTTGGTGTTTACCATCCCAAAAAACCAGATCAGATTAGGGGTGTGTTCGATTCATCGGCTAAATTTAGGGAGTTACCCTGAATGAAGTCCTTCTTTCAGGACCAGATTTATCAAACAGCCTGCTTGGCATTCTTCTAAGATTTCGCAAGGAAATGGTTGCTGTGACTGCCGATGTGCAACATATGTTTCGCTGTTTTTTAGTAGGAGAGGATCATCGCAACTTCTTAAGATTTTTGTGGCACAAGGATAACGACCTTGACAAAGAAATCATTGAGTATAGGATGAGGGTCCATGTCTTTGGTAACCGGCCCTCACCTGCTGTAGCAACACTCGGACTCGGAAAGGCAGCTGAAGCGGCAAAACCGAACTATGGAGATCACCTTACCAATTTCGTAAAAAATGACTTTTACGTTGATGATGGGTTGACTTCCTGTCCAACCACTGCAGAAGCTGTTCGCATTCTCAAGGATACTCAGAGCGTCTTGAAGGAATTTGATAATCTCCGGCTTCATAAATTTGTCTCCAACAGTCCTGAAGTCATGTCAGCCTTTCCAGTTGAAGACCTAGCATAAAATCTGAAAGACTTGGATTTACAAAGGGAGGGCATGCCTCTGCAGCGCAGCCTTGGTCTAAGCTGGGATGTAAACAATGACACCTTTCTGTTCCAACTATCAAAAGACAATAAACCTGCCACACGAAGAGGTTTACTTTCAACCGTCAATGGGATTTATGACCCTCTAGGCTTTTTAGCACCAGTGACTATCTATGGTAAACTCCTACTCAGGCAACTGATAGCACAGACTCGAGACTTGAATGAGTCTCTCTCTGAAGAACTAACATCTCTATGGAATTCTTGGAAGAATACCTTAGATGCACTTGAAGCCCTGCGTATTCCACGGACACATGTGACAAATCTCAGCAAAGCAGTGACGAAAAAACTTCATGTGTACAGTGACGCATCTGAAAAGGCCATAGCGGCTGTCGTTTATTTGCGCACAACCGATAGTGACGGACAGTGCAAAGTTGGATTCATGTTGGGAAAGGCTAAAGTTGCACCCATAAGTGGACACACTATCCCACGATTGGAATTGTGTGCATCTGTGTTGGCGGTGGAGATTGCACAGTGTGTTCTGAATCACCTGGGCATACAAATAGACTCTGTGAAGTATTACACTGATGGCAAAGTAGTCCTCGGCTACATCTGTAATGAGTCTAGGAGATTCTATATCTATGTTGCCAACAGAGTAGACCGCATAAGGAAGTTTACTACTCCAAGCTAGTGGAATTAAATGTTTACTGATCATAACCCTGCAGTTTTAGCGACGCGATGTCTACCTGCACATGAGTTTCAAGACAGCACTTGGTTACAAGGACCAAAACAACTTCTCGTTATTAAACAGGAGGAACAAAATGAGAATGAACATTCACTCATTAAGCCAGATGAAGATAAAGAGATTCGCCCTATTGTTTCAGCAATGAAAACCTGCACTGCAGACGAAGATGGTGGACAACCATACACTGCAATGACTCAACGATTCCAGCGATTTTCTGCTTGGAGGAAACTTGTGTTGGCCATGAACTTTCTCAGATACATGCTTTTCAAGTTTCAAGGCAAAGACATTGATTCTAACACAGTAACTGAAAGATACCAAGACACAGAGCACTTTGTGATCCGAATGGTGCAGTCTGAGGTGTACTGTGACGAGATTGACTGTATACGACAAGACGAGCCCCTACCTCGACGAAGCCCAATAGCCAACCTTAATCCATTTTTAGATGATCAGGGACTTCTTCGTGTAGGAGGTCGGATAGTCAATTCAAAATTGACCTTGAAAGAGAAGAAACCATTGATTATACCTGGACGCCATCACATAGCAACCCTACTGGTTCGACACTATCAAGAGAATGTCAAGCAGCAAGGGCGTCACTTCACCGAAGGAGCTATTAGGGCTGCTGGACTTTGGATAACAGGGGCCAAACGACTTGTCTCATCGATTATTCATAAATGTATCACGTGCAGAAAACTCGGAGGGAAGACGCAGTATCAGATCATGGCTGATCTACCAGCAGACCGCCTTGACCCATCGCCACCTTTCACAAACGTAGGTGTAGATGCATTCGGACCTTGGGCTGTAGTTTCACGTAAGAGTCGAGGAGGTAGTGCCAACTCCAAGCGCTGGGGAATATTGTTCACATGCTTAACCACAAGGGCGGTTCATATTGAACTAGTTGAGGAAATGAGTTCTTCTGCATTTATCAATGCTGTCAGAAGATTCACCGCCATATGGGGTCAGGTAAAGACCTTCCGTTCTGACCAAGGCACTAACTTTGGTGGGGCCGTAGATGACTTGCGCATTGATGCCAAATACGTCAATGATGCAGCCTTGAAGAAGTATCTACACAACTCTGGTACTGTATGGGTCTTCAATCCGCCCCATGCATCCCACGTGGGTGGGGCACGGGAAAGAATGATCGGTATTACCCGTAAGATCATCAATTCAATGCTGACTGATGCCAGTGGAAAGACCTTAACGCACGATGTGCTGAACACATTTATGGCTGAGGTCTGTGCAATCATTAATTCAAGACCTCTTGTTCCGATATCCACTGACCAAGATTCCCCATTTATTCTGACCCCAGCAATGCTGTTGACACAGAAGACCGAGTATGAGTTAAGGTCAATTCACTAGGAGACTTTGATGGTCGAGACATGTTCAAGGCTGAATGGAGACGTGTTCAAGCTTTAGCTAGTGTATTCTGGTCTCGTTGGAAGAAGGAGTATCTACCGCTACTTCAGAGTCGTAGGAAATGGACCAAGAATCAACGTGACATAGCCGAAGAAGATGTAGCTCTTATAAAAGACAAGACTGTTGAACAGAACTGCTGGCCTATTGGCTTAGTTGTGAAAGCCTTCAAAAGTTCTGATGATCATGTGCGAAAGGCTGAAATTCGTACCATTGTGAATGGAAAGCCTACAGTGTATATCAGACCAGTCGTTGACATGATACTTCTCATTGAATGTGAAATTGTATAAGTCTGAGAATGTGTTGACAGACTATTTAAGACTGTTATCGAGAGATTATTGATTTTTGTCATACTCTTAATACAGCAGTTTGTAATTTTGATAGTGAAATCTTGAGATTTCAAACGGGGAGTGTTCTGTCTAATTTTTAATATTTTCATCTCTTTAGAATTTATGTTGTACTATTACGTCAGTTAGACTGAGTACAATACGAATTTTTATTGAATGTGTTTAAGTACGAGTTAATTTTCTGTGTTTGTGCCGCCATACTGTCACGGCGAGGTTTTACTCCTGGTTGAATGTTTGTAATCCACGGTGTAAGTAGTTTAAAGTTTTTACACACTGTTTATTCTTCAGATTATGTTATCGCTTACCTATATCTCTATTGTCAGCTATGCTAATTATTGCAGTTCTGCATAATTTTAGATAATGTTTGTGCCATGTGCTTAAAGTATGGTGTGCTATTCATGTCATCTTATATAGTCGATAGTAATTAAGTCTGTATTTGTCTTAAAAATATATTTTATACATGGAATTTGATACAGTTGATCAGAGTATAGTTAGTTAATGATTTATAAGAGATATTGCTTGTCTGTGTAATTTTTTTTTAAATTAAGTGAATCATGTTTTGAGAAATTTTTCTATGGAAAGCAGTACCTGTCATTACTTACTTTGGTGTTGTTTTATTGTAGCTTTTTACCAGACGCACGTTCACATGCGCACTTGCACATGCAAGTGAGGGTTAACTATCTGTCAAATAAAACTTTCTAAAGGAACTGAGTGACTTTTTATTGTGGCAGAATACTGGGGTTTCCATTTCCTCTGTTAGTATCCGCTGAATATGCTCTGTCATCATTATTTTTAATAAACTCTTGAACATACTATGGGCTTTTCTAGAGACACCAAACAGCTTCCTGTTCGTGAGTAGTTCTGTGGGTTATTTGAAGTCTCATCTAAGGTTTTAAGAAAGTTCTCCCACCGTGCAATATCTATTTCTGACATCTTATTTATCCAAATCTTCATGTTCTTTCTGAGATTTGTGATGTCATTTTTTTCAAATGTTGCATTCAACACTGCAGGCTGACTTGTTTGAATGCTGATAGTGCCATCCGATCTTTGACTGAAAAAGCTTCCATGTATTACTTTCCAAGAATGATCCACATTTTTGCGATAAAAGATGTCGACATCCCCGTTTTCCTCGATCAGTCTTGATCTGTTATGAATATAAATGTAGAAATTTTAGTTTGTTTTCCATTCGAAATAATTAGAGTTTAGATGTAACCTATGTCATATTATTTGTTTTGGAGAGTAAAATAAGTAATCCAAGCATAGCGCAATGGTTAGAGCATTTGTTTCAGATTCGCAGAGTGTGGAGTTCATAACATTAAATGTAACATGATATTAACAATACATACATCGATCAGTATTTTGAGTTTTATTTACTTCCAAAGTGAAAAAACTAGAGGATATGTTTGTGAAACACTGTTGCCACCGTATGGCAGCTTATAGTGAAGGTGAAAGTTTTCTCAAATGTAAGTCAAACTCCAAGGTAAAAAGATCAAAAATGTTGTTATTCAAAGAAAGGACTGGTCCCAACGAATATAACTTTTATGTTGCACATGTGGTTACCGTTTTCTTTACTCAGGTGACCTATTGCTAGTCGTCGTGTGTTAACATTTGAACATTTTCAGCCTCTTCTCTGAAATCGCTCAACCAAATTCAACCAATTTTGGTATAAAGCATCTATGGGTGAAGGTATTTACTGTTTATTATTATTTTATACTGACTTGTTCCTGTTAAAATGAAAATAATTTACAAAATCGTTTTTTGGATGTTTCATTTTATTTATGTTTTTCGTTGCATTGTGCCTCTTAATAATATAATACTTTGATTTTTAACATACCTGGTCTGATATTCCAGTCTGATAACTGGGAGTAAGGAGGACAGGCCCATGTGTCAACAATGGTGTCTTGTAGTGATAAGTAGCAGGCAAGTCAAGGGGGTACACGGACTTCACAGAATCAAAGAGGGAGGAATGGACATCTGACGACCACTGACCTCCACATAATCTCAGCTAGATGTGCTTGAAACTATGGACGTTAAACAAGTGTAGACTATACAGTGTATCTTGAAGGTAATCAAAGTAAATAAATTAGGAATTAAAAATATATCCCCACAACCATAATATATTGATGGTTTTTAAAGCACAGACTGTGTCACTTTAAAAATAGGCAATTTTTACTTTTTAACACCCTTCAATTTATGGCATGTTTTACCATTTTGTTTGTCTAAAACCTTAAAATTTAATTCCTCAACGCCTTATGACTTTCCCTTTAAGTTCCCTGTTAAATTCATGTCTTGCACAATCAAGTGCCTGTAAGTGAACTTTTCTGTATACCACAAGTTTTACTAGTAAATAATTTCGTAAGTTCTATTGTCGAAACAATGACCTTGTCAGTAAATAAAGTCTTTCATTAACTTGATTCTGACTGATGTTTTTCACTCCTCCATAGCACCTAATCCAACCTCTGATGTTTTAGATGTCCGCGTTTGCTCTGCTCCTGATTTGTATTGTATTGTTGTGTGGACTTTTGATCTTGTTTACTGTTTTGAAAATAGTAAACACTTTCCTTTGTTATTTTTGTTGCAACAATCTCACAAACGTCAAGTTCCATTGGACAGTAACCTTTTCATAGGCTTAAAGGCATATTTTTTTTGTTTGGGGGGGGGGGGGGGGGGCAATATGAAAGCGATGGAAATGAAGTATTTATTGTACCTGTCCCATCATTGTTATAAGTTTTGCCTGATCCCTAAGGTGCAAGAGAAGTAAAAAAAAAAAACAAAAAAAAAAACAGTATTCCTCTGTTGCTTTATTTAGTGCTCTGCAGCTCTACAGAGGTGATTCCTGTAATATACTAGTGTAGCATCTGTCTGCATCATTGCAATCACTACAGCTTTCTCTCTATCTGTGACAAAAACGCAGAGGGATTTCCTGTTAGTATTTGGCACTAACCTGCAAAATCTCCGAACATTAAGATGGATTTGTCAGTTTTTTCGGTCATGAATATTGAATACCTTTCTCTCTATCTGTGACAAAAAACGCAGAGGGATTTTCTGTTAGTATTTGGCACTAACCTGCAAAATCTCCGAACATTAAGATGGATTTGTCAGTTTTTTTCGGTCATGAATATTGAATACCTCAGGAATTTTATGGACTGCTTTTTTTTTAAAACCTTTAAAATCCCTAACTGATACAAAGAAGCACCAATCAAATATGTGTCATTTTTGAACGTGATTATGCCTAAGAATATGGCATCTACATGCATTTCATTCACAACATTTCAATATCAATATATCAATAAGTTATATCCCATAGTTAATTAAATACAAATAAAATTATTAAATATTTACCAGAATCTGGATCATTAATGAAGTCAGCTATTTGCTGATCCATTTCACACACAACCTTTCTGCCTTTCCAATTGACTGTGACTTTTGCGGTGGAAGAAAAAGGATTCAATTCAATGATGTCTCTCTCTCTCTCTCTCTATATATATATATGAAATCTAAAGAAATTCAACTTTATAGTGTTTTTTAATATGACATAACGTAGGTAAGAACTTGAAAATTCTTACATTTCAATTATCTACCCCTTCCCCTTCATTCCTTCTACCCTTTTCCCCTGGACAAAAGTTTGGGTTCGGGAAGAGGGAATCTCTTTGCTCATCTCTGACTGTCAATAAATCTCCGGTAATTTCCACCAGATTACTGTTAAAAATCTTTTTAAAACTTGGTAACAATTTGAAACATAAATAACGTGCAATTAAAATACAATTAAAGTAAAAATTCTAAGTGCCTTACTTAGTGAATCTTAGCTAAGCATATTACTTCTTGCTTAAAATATAACGTCACAATAGTGTGACATCATAGCGGGGATTGACGATATTTTATCTCCCGTTTTACGTCACCAAAAACATCATCATCGTCTGAATATGGCAGAGGAAATACGTAAACCGAACTGGACAATGGAAGAGTGTTTGCATCTCAAGCGCTTGTTCAATGATAAGAAGAAAATTTTGAGGGCTAAATTCGGCGCCGGACTGACCACTCAAAAGTAGAGAGAAATTTTGAAATCCATAATTGATAAAATTAATGCTGCCAACCCTTCAACAGTCCGAACTGTTGAAGAAGTTGAATAGAAGTGGCATAACATTCATATGAAGGGACGGGGGAGATTGATTGATTGTATGTTGTTTAACGTCCCTCTCGAGAATTTTTCACTCATATGGAGACGCCTGGGACGGGGGAGAAATATCTGACTTCAGAAGTTTGCAGAAAACAGGTTCGTGAAATGTTGAACGTTATAGATACGAGTGATATGAGGGCGATAATGTGGTATAAGCACTATTCTTACAGTAACCGCGGGATTCTAAAATTTGATATTTTAAGAGACCCATATTTTGTTAAAGAAATTAAGGACCCTCTCTACACCAGTGCAAAATGTTTTTTGAAGACTGAGAAAATTATATTGAATAAAGGTGTAAATATTGAGCTTATCTATCTAATTTTCAATATATGGTGCGTGGCATTTACCCCCAGGAAAAATGTTCAAACAAAATACAGTATTTATGAACAGAAATCACTGTTGATTCCTTCGTTGGAGACATT